GCTATGCCACTTTAGCTGTAACAAGCGGAAATGTCCCCGCTGTGGGACTAATAAAGGATTTCTGATTCTGATATGAGCCAGTTGAGGTGTTGCACAGGGTGTCGGAACTTGGACACACTTGTATGTTTTCTTATATGTAGCTGAATGCTGTTGTAATGGTACATTGACATTCAGAGGGTGTGACGAACATTGAGACTCCTGTGACAAGCTGGTTGATGGAAAATGAGTTTATTTTAATACAATTAGTTATGAGAAACATTAATAAGACAAGATATGAGCCAGTCGAGATGTTGCACATGGGTGTCAGAACTTGGACACAGCTTACATTGCCTCTTATATGTAGACGAATGCTGTTGTAATGGTACATTCCTAGTGTGAGAAACATGACAATAAATGTATTTTGTGAACTTGTGTACCTGTTTTACTTTAAGAAAGCCAGGCGAATACCTGTCGGACTATGGGTATTGGATAACATCTGTCCAGTTGGACGGAAGTGGGCTAAAATAGCATTTATTTAATCAGATAACAGATATGTGAACATCAACAAAGAAATTAGTGAGTTGACACGTAAACCATGGTTTGTGAACTTCAATTCATATAGAATTTTAATTTTGTGTGTTTTTTTGCACATATGTATCCCAGTTCACAAAGGGTAAACAACATACAAGTTCCAGGCCAATCGTTACAGAGTTTTCAACACAGAAGTGATTTAGCCAATCAGAATGCAGATCCTGCAGCACCGGAGGCAGGCTTTACTGCACTCGCAATGTGACAGTGAAGGGAGAGTTCTGCTTCTGAAGATAATAACTCAGATAAGACCGTAATAACTCAATATAATGTTTTCAACCCTAAACGGCAACACTTTGTAGTTGTAGGTAGGTGTGTGTGTGAGTGTGAGAGACGGCCTGCTCACGGAAAGCTGGTTGCTGCCACTGCAAAAACGCCCTGTCAAATTTAAGGCCAAACGTTCTAGATATAAGCATGCTTGCACTTAAAACAAGCACATTTGGCTGCCAGTGCAGTAAGCAAATTTCACTTGATAAGATGTCTTAAAACAAGTCAGGCTGTCCGACTATCATTATAGCACATACAATCTTAAAATAAGATTAAAAAGACTAATTTCAAGCAATCTAGTTAAGCCTGTTTAATGCAAAAGAAGCCTATTATCACTCAAAACTAGGGTACTTTTAGCAACAAATTACTTAAAATGAGATTTAGGGAGACGTGTGGCGCAGTGGGTAGTGCGTTGGGATCAGGGGAGCATAGGTTCAAACCCCACTGCAGTCAGCATGTCGTTGTGTCCCTGAAGACACCACAGTATTGAGTATGTAAGTCACTTTGGATAACAAGTTACATGTAATGAAATTCTTGTTTTTAGGGAGCTAAATTAGAACACATGCTCTTAAAATAAGTAAACATGACAATTCTTTCAAAAAACACGTTTTTATTAAGTCAGTCCATAACAAACAGGATCATTTATTAAATGAACAAAGCTCTTCAACATATATACATCCTCATAGAACTTACAAACATTGGTTGTTTAGCCCCTCATGCTATAATCATGTGTATTTTCTCCATTCCTGTTCATGTGTCTTCTCGCAATTATCACTGGCCCCGTGTATCTCGTAATCGATATAACCGGCCTGCTCTCATCTATCCCACATGCTCCACTGAGATCCAACATCTAGTTTCTGGTGGCCTGTGGAATTGCCAGTCAGCTGTTCCTAAGGCTGACTTCATCTCTGGCTACGCCTCCCTGCAGTCTCTGGATTTCCTTGCTCTCACTGAGACCTGGATTACTCCATCCAACACATCCACCTCAGCAGCTCTCTCCACTGCATATTCCTTCTCCCATACACCCAGACCAACTGGCAGAGGAGGTGGCACTGGTCTCCTGCTCTCTCCCAAATGGAGCTTTTCCCTCTTCAAGCTACCTAACTTCACTCCTTCCACCTTTGAATTCCATGCCGTCACAGTAACCCATCCTATACAGTTAACCATTGTTGTTCTCTACCGTCCACCAGGCGCCTTGGGGGACTTCTTGGAGGAATTAGATCATCTCCTCTCACACATCCCTGAAACTGGCCCTCCCGCTGTACTTCTCGGAGACTTCAACCTCCAGACAGGGAAGATAGACGAACTAACATCTCTGTTAACCGCCTTTGCTTTCTCACTGTCTCCGTCCCCACCGACTCATAAAGCTGGCAATGTCCTTGATCTCATATTCTCAAGGAACTGCGCTACTTCTAACCTCTCTGTAAACCCGCTCCACACATCCGATCACTTCTTCATTTCATTCTCTCTATCCCTTTCCAAACATAACAAACTAATCTCTTCTCATCCTGCACTTGTCCGCCGTAACCTTCGCTCCCTCTCCCCCTCTACCTTTGCCTCGTCGGTACTCTCAGCCCTCCCTTCCTCTGACTCGTTCCAACTCCTGCCTCCAAACTCTGCTGCAGAAACTCTCCTCTCTACTCTCTCATCCTCTCTGGACTCGCTCTGTCCTCTCACATCTCGGCAGGCTCGTCAGTCCCCTCCTGCTCCCTGGCTAAATGATGCACTGCGTGCTAATAGAACCGTCCTTAGGGCAGCAGAACGGAAACGGTGGAAATCCAAACACCGTGACGACCTCCTAACCTATCAAGCTCTCCTCTCCTCTTTCTCTGCTTCGATCTCTCAGGCAAAAAGCACTTTCTTTCAAGATAAGATCCAATCTTCCTATTCCAATCCTAAAAAACTATTTTCCATCTTCTCCACCCTCTTGGACCCTCCAAAAGCTCCTCCCCCCTCCTCACTTCTGTCAAGCGACTTTGTTACCCACTTTGAAAAAAAGGTTGATGATATTCGCTCTTCTTTTTCTGACTCACCTTTACTCACCGCTGGGTCACCAGACCTTCCTTCCACCAACACACTAACCTCCTTTTCCCCTCTCTCTCCAAGTGAGGTTCTTACCCTCATTACCTCTGCCCGCCCTACCACCTGTCCTCTGGACCCTATCCCTTCAAACCTCCTTCAGACTATCGCTCCTGATATTCTACCGTTTCTCTCCCATTTCATCAACACTTCTCTAACTTCTGGTCACTTTCCAAACAGTCTCAAGGAGGCAAGAGTAAACCCTCTCCTAAAGAAACCCACTCTCAACCCGTCTGATGTTATAAACTACAGGCCTGTCTCTCTCCTCCCGTTCCTGTCTAAAACACTTGAACGCGCTGTCTTTAGACAACTCTCCTGCTATCTCCATCAGAACAACCTTCTGGATCCGCACCAGTCTGGTTTCAAGGCAGGTCACTCCACAGAAACTGCTCTCATTGCTGTCACTGAGGAACTGCACACTGCCAAAACTGCATCCCTCTCCTCTGTCATCATCCTGTTGGACCTGTCTGCTGCATTCGACATGGTGAATCATCAGATCCTCCTTCACACTCTCCAAAAACTTGGAGTTTCAGGCTCTGCACTTTCCCTCCTCACCTCATACCTGAAAGACCGTACCTACAGGGTGACTTGGAGAGGGTCTGAGTCCGACCCTTGTCAATTAACTACAGAGGTCCCTCAGGGCTCTGTTCTTGGTCCCCTCCTCTTCTCCCTGTACACAAACTCGCTCGGATCAGTCATTAGCCCGCATGGTTTTTCTTACCACTGCTACGCTGATGACACCCAATTAATTCTGTCCTTTCCCCGCTAAGAGACCCAGGTCGTCGCACGCATCTCTGCTTGTCTAGCTGACATCTCTCAGAGGATGTCTGCTCATCACCTCAAACTCAACCTTGACAAGACTGAGCTGCTCTTCCTTCCGGGAAAAGATTGTCCCACTCTTGACCTAACAATCAACATCGGCACCTCAGTTGTTTCCCCGACTCAGACTGCAAGGAATCTGGGTGTGACCCTAGATAACAACCTGTCCTTCACTGCAAACATCGCTGCTACAACCCGTTGCTGCAGATACACGCTTTACAACATCAGGAAGATACGTCCCCAGCTGACACAGAAAGCGACTCAGGTTCTGGTCCAGGCTCTCGTCATCTCACGCCTAGACTACTGCAACTCCCTCCTGGCTGGTCTACCTGCATGTGCCATCCGACCTCTGCAGCTCATCCAGAATGCAGCGGCTCGTCTGGTCTTCAACCTTCCTAAATTTTCCCACACTACTCCGCTCCTACGCTCGCTTCACTGGCTTCCGGTAACTGCTAGAATCCACTTCAAGACACTGGTACTTGCTTACCATGCTGCGAATGGATCTGGCCCTTCGTACATCCAGGACATGGTTAAACCGTACACCCCAGCGCGTGCACTACGCTCTGCATCAGCCAAACGACTCGTTGCGCCCTCGCTGCGAGGGGGACCCAAGTTCCCAACGGCGAAAACACGTGGGTTTGCTGTCCTGGCTCCAGGATGGTGGAATGAGCTCCCCATTGACATCAGGACGGCAGATAGCTTGCACATCTTCCGGCGCAAACTGAAAACTCATCTCTTTCGACTCCACTTCGAGCGATAGAACTATTAACGAAGCACTTTTATACTAATAAAGGACTGGCTTTTCTAAAGCCAGTTGAGTAGCACTTGAAATGTTTTAGCTCTATGAAACCTGATGTACTTTTATGATTCTGTTTTCTTCAAGTTGTATTTTGTTGGACGAACGCACTTATTGTAAGTCGCTTTGGATAAAAGCGTCAGCTAAATGCAATGTAATGTAATAATGTAATGTAATTGGACACAGAATTCAAGTTCTCTACTTTTTTGTGAATTCTGCCCATTCAGCTATTGCTTTTTTGTATGAATGAGTAAGGTCACGCTCGTGAATACTGTCCTTCAGTACCTCAGTCTGGATGACGGATAGGAGAGTAGCAACACATTTGGGGTAGGTGAGGTGGAAGGTGTTAAAACACCCCATCAGGATGAGTGGAGCCTCGTGCATCATTTCCCTAGGTAGGGTCATCAGTGGGATTTTGCCAACAGCCAGGAGGAGGTTAGTAGAGTCTAGGATGACTGGACTGGTGATGGAACGTTTCTGGAGAAACGTATTGGGGTCCTCGGATGGCTGAGAGCAACAAAGTAGAGACAAAAAGTAGAAAACAATTAAACCTCAAGGAATATCAAGTTTTATTTCAGTTTAACTGATACTGACTCAGACTCACCTCAAGAACATGGAATAGTGCCTCACTTGCTGACCCAAGCTTTTTGGGTGGGGCAGTTGGCGAAGGAAACATTGAGGGAAGTGCCTTCATCAAAGCAATCGCTTGTCCAGCTGAAAAACAACATGGATACATGATCAAATGCATTGTGCTTGTTTTTGTTAGGCAATTTGACTTTGACATTAAGTGTTGTGTAACTGAAAAGTAAGCACAAAAGCAAAAAAATAGTTCTGTGCAGAGCCCAAGGGAGTATAAGCTAATCATGGAAAAACTATGCTGTTGGTGAACGACAGTATCCCTGAAGCGACATGAATCTTAATGTCACCTTGGGAAATTGTACATAAACTGGTGCTACTTTTTTTTCAAAATTGGCCTGAATGTTGCGCTAAGACAGAGAGCGTGGGATCACCAAAATCAAACGGTTCTCCTAGGGATATTGAATGTGCACAGCGAAATGAAAGAGTGAAATAAAAACGATTGCAGTTATTGGATCAGCAAACTGAAAGTTTGGCTGGATAGTGGGGGGGCAGCGGTCGGGGTGAATTTATAATATCCCTGACACTTTCACTGCAGGGGATATAAAAAGCACTTGTCAGTTGCACAAGGGAAAGCAAAACAATAAGGGTCACCTGTATGCATGACATAAGGTAGTAGTGTTTAAACCCTCTAGTGACCACTACTACCTTATAACTACCATTTTGCCATAATTCAGTCATCAAAAAGGAGATCCTGTCCTATCAAAATAATGAAAATAAGCTAATACAATCATATCCCATGCGGCCATGAAATGGTCACCCCCAACCTATAAAACATCAGTGTTATCTATACATTATGCTTACATGTATCCAGACCCATTGGTGGCTTCAACGACTTGTTCCACACTCCAAAGAACAGCGCATTTTCGCAAAAGCTTTCCCATCTGGCTTTGATCTGGTCAGTGAAGTTCTTGTTGCCTGCCTCTAGAATTCGGCCCATCTCGTCCAAAACCTGAGTGTAAAAATCAATAGAACTTTGATACAGAGAAAACAGATGTTAGATGTCTAAATAATTAACAAGAGATTTACCTTTTAAGAGTGACACAGTTGTGTCATCAAATCTATCCATCTCACCATGAAGAAGCATTCTGTAATTTACAGGAAAAGACGGCCACTGTCATTTTAAAAGTCAACCCCAAAAAAAACACATTAAAAAGGCATCAGACACTAAATTGTAAAATTGCTGTGATTCACTATGAACTAGCTAGGTCGACGTTAGCTAGTCTACCACCACCCTTTGCGTTTTTAACTAACTGCTAGCTTTTAACATATACAATTACTGAATACCAAAAGAAAACGTATGATATTAACGTCGGCTAATGTTGTGTTCCTTACAGACAGTGTATTTATCTGAGAGTAGTTAACGTTAGCTAGCTTATTTTTTACATACCCCATTAGTGAGGTTAAGGTTAGCTAGCAACACGTGCTTCGTAGTTAGCTAGCTATCTTAGCTAATTCAGCTAACAGTTAACCAATGAATGTACTAATACTTAATCAATTGAAAGCACTAATATGTTACATATGCCTATTGACTTTTATTCCTACGTTCAGTTACTAACGTTACCTTAACTGCACTTCTTGGTCGCTGTCCTGCCTCTCTGGTGAAGGTGAACTGAACAACGTGTTACATTCCGCTGGCGCTTGGCTTGTGGTGCATCAGGTGATCCTCATGAAATAGGAAATTCCCCGTTTGCCATCATTTGGACACAAACAGCCATCCACTTGTAAACAATGAGGACTGAGGAGGATCTCTCGATGTAAATAATATAGTACTGGCATTCGTTGTTTACATCTTTTAGTGGATATTGTCATTGATCCAGCATCTGACAAACACATGGTAAGTAAAGTCACACATTTTCCGACTTTATGAGTGATGACAAACACCACATGGATGTACATTCAGGTTTTTCTTCTTTCAGGGCCAAAGCAGAGTAGGGGCGGGTCTTCGCATAATTAAATAATGCAGCAAGCGCCAAATTCGCACACACCTCTGAGAGCAATCGTTATAGTCGTCCACATCTGATGAAGTGTGTGAAAATTCAAGTCAAAGATATTGTGATATTTTTTTTGTTATCCATATCGCTCAGCCATACTTGGTGTGTTAAGCTGTTCATGTTTAAATGTGTAATGTGGCATGGATTGTTTGAACATGTGTGGTGTGATAAATGCACCATAATCTCAGAAATTAAGATATTGTTCTTTGTCCAGTATTGCTTATGCCATAGATCAGTGATTCTCAAACTTTTTTCAATAATGTACCCCCTTTGAAAAAAAAATGCAGCCATGTACCCCCTGATCAGCGCAAAAACAATTTGTTAGGGAAGAAATGCCTATATAAAGAGGTACGGTGCTGCACCATCTGTGTCTGATTTATTAAAACAACAACCTTGTAACTGAGAAACACTTAAATGCTACATTTCAAATGTTTACAATCCATCACTAAATTCATGGCAAACCAATTTTAACATCATGCAATAACACTAAGACGACATTAGTTGCATTGAACTGATCTTTTTAATAAGTTGTACTTACAATGTAGTGAAACATGGGCTTGTGCTTCACTGAGGATCTTTGTCATGCTGACAGGGAGGCCACTGCAGTTATTACACTTCGCGTTTTGAAATATGTGTAACTCTGTTAATATAAATGCTCAAACTTCCTTACTTTTCCTAAAATTGGTATTTATTTATTTTTTCAATTAACATAAAAATAAATCTCACGTACCCCCTGCAGTACTCCAACGTACCCCTAGGGGTCCGCGTACCCCCATTTGAGAACCACTGCCATAGATAATAAGAGACCAGATAACAGGGGAAAGAGACGTTGCTTGAAGGAAGAGGGAGGGGTACTGAGTAGCTGGCAGCCCCTCCCAACAGTGTCCTCACTGCTCAGGGACCCCCACCGTGTTACCAGTTCCAGGGCAGTAACAGAGTAGAGATTGCACACCTACCTCAAGAGTCAATGTCATGCATATTATCAGTTATTCTGGTCCATATCCTTTAGGAGAGTGTGTTATGATGATTATCAGTTCATTTTTTGATTATCATTAAAATAGATGTTAATTCTTGTTTGAATTGTGTCTTTTACTGTCTTTACCAGCTGGGAAAATAACTTATGTTAACCACAGAGCTGATGCTTGAAATTAATTTGTTTTCTTCTTGCCATACTAGTGCTTAAAATAAGGCTTTTTAGCCTTGAATTGGATGTTTTATAGACAGGTCCCTTGTTTCTAGTTAAACATAACTAAAATAAAGACAAAGTTGCTTATCAAGACAAGGCAAGTAACATTTACTTGAATTAAGTCAAAAAATCTTCCATAGAAAGCACTAGATAAGCTATTTAAACTCAAATCAAGACAAACTAGATTTAGAATCTAAATTTAAGATTATTACACTTGGTTAGATCTGCAGTTTTTGGAGTGCACAGAAGGACTCCCGAATAGGTGAATTGTGGTAAAGAAATAAAAAATAGAGAAAGTGCATCTCTGTCAGCTGAGCTTCTGTCAGTCAGAGGGTTAGGTAAAGGTTGAGATAGTTATCATGTGAGGAGAATTAACTAAAATACAATACATAGCAATGTTTGAACCAACCTTAGTCATGGGTTTGTTTTAAATACAAACGTTTACATATTCCTCACAAGCCACATTTTTAAGGATTGTTCAAGGCAATTCATTCCAGAATGTTCACTTAGTTCAAAGAAGCAACATGCATAGTAAGATAACAACTTTTTTTCACATTATTTGAAGTGAGAGGTTGTGTGTGAGAGTGCACACAATGTTATTGGTTGACGATAACTGGCCTCTGGTCTTAATTTAGCCAAAAGGGGCGTGTCCCGTACGGGACTTTGTTGTATGGAACGCCCTTTGCGCCACAATTCGCGCGTTTATTCGCGCGTAGTTTCTGCAGGAACAGAGAATGGTGATGGATGGAGCTGGGAAGAGAGAAGAATAAAGAAAACAGATCAACTTTATTATCGGATATTAAAAATTCAATTTCAAAACAAGTTGCGGCTCCTACAGTTTTCTAGTATGTAAAGATGATTTCACATGACCTATGCAAAATATCACACTCAATACATGTGTGTCTCTGGGGGGTGCATTGTGCCTTTGATGTATATAAATAATATACCATAACCAAATACTATTACGTACAGTGGAAATCAGGTTGCCAGAGCAGGTCAGTGTGCATGTTCCTCAACGTCTCAGCAGTTACAGGTGAGGTAAAGAAAATAAACACTTTAAATTAACAACACTTTGAATAATTATCTCTTCTAACAATTTTCTCTCAGTAAGCACACAACGACTGTCTTTCCAACAAACAGATTGACTCACTCTCACTGTCATCACAATGTCATGCAAAGCTCCCTGCCTGCCTTCGACTCTCCCTGAACTGCTTCTTTAGCACCCGGTGGAGGGCGCAGTAGGCTACTCTTCAAATGTTTCACGAAATACTTACCATCATGACTACTCTTACTGTTTAACATTTTGGTTTACTTCATGTAATAAAATAATAACTTCATGGTAAGGCTACTAAAAATGACAAGGCTAAGTAATGTAATGCTAACTAACTAATGCTCGCTACTCGTCGCTACTAGCTAGGTAGCTAACTTGACTATGTTCCATGCACAACATGTATATTACCTGATATGTCTGATCCAGCGACTCCTGGTCCTTTCATCAGACGGGAAGCGATATAACGAGCAAGTGGTATGATCACTTTTGTGATTACAACCTGGTACAAAGCACACAGGCATCTTGTAAAAGTGAACCAACCACTTGGAGCATTATCGCCTGTGACATCACTTACGTGACCCAGAATGGGATTTGTAGTCTTTGTAGTCGCGTATTTTTCATAGTCTTATATTTCAACAGTTTTACGACAAAATTTGACTTTTTTGACATGGAAATGATTGTTTAAGATTGACAAACATCATATGTGTAGTTCGTGGCACAATTCAAACGGGATCAAAAGATACGTTTTCTCTCTCCATTGAATTCAATGTATAATTTTTCGCTTCCGGGGCCCCATAGACCGGAAATAGATGGGCGTGACTTCGCCTCTCTATGCAATAGACTTGTTTGAGACGCGTTGCGGCTCGCCTCGAAAGTAGACGAGAATAGCCGATCGCAGCCGGGGGAGGTCTCAAAAAGCTCGCCTGAAGTCGGACAGCTCGGAGTCGGCTTCGTCTTCTTCTTTTTCTTCTCTCGGTTTTTTGGCGGATTGCAAACAACTTGAAGGTGCATACCGCCACCTCCGGAGTCGGCTTGACTCGGTTTGCATTTATAAAGAATGCACACATGTGTTTAATCGTTAATGTCAGATATGTACGAAGTAAATACATTTGTTCCTGCTCAAGTTTAGATTCAACTTTATTGTTATTGCACATATTAGCTCTGCTCAGCTCTGTGTTTGTGTCTGTCCGACACCGGCATTTGTTTTCAAATGACCATGAACAGTAATTTACACACATCTGGCTAACTCCATAGGTAGCCTATATGCGGGTGTTCCCAAAATAAATTAGTTTAATCTTAATCTCGATGTAGTGCTAAATGCTGTTGGACGTGCACTGGAACGAACGTCACTATCATATCTTCTGAAAACAAATGCCAGTGTCACACACACACACACACACACACACACACACACACACACACACACACACACACACCACACACACACACACACACACACACACACACACACACACAGCTCCTTCATAATGCGCCTTCACCTCGTTTTTCCATCACTGGATTATCCGTAAATCATACAAACAAAACCAAAACATTGATTTATCTGTTTTCCCGTTTTGGTTTAAAAACTGAATAACGTCGGTTTTTTGGTTTTCCGTTTTTCCGAAAAATCAAAAAACGACACCGGTTATTTTTTAAACGTTGTTAATATGTTTTGGATGCATATTGTTCTATTATTTGTTCAGGCTGTTACATACAATTAGCCTCTGTTGCTACCTGCTGGTGAGTAAATATTAAAATCAGTTAAAATTGACAACCGGTCCGCGACTTTTTTTAAATGTATCTGCCTGTCCTTGGCACAATAAAGGGATGGGAACCTGATCTAACCAACTGAGCTAACCGGCCACGTTTGTATTTTAAAAAAGGAAATTCAATCATATTTTAAACAATCCGATACACGCTGTCCTCTGAAATGGACAAGGGGGCCCAGGTGCCATCTACAAAGTCAAACGTCGAAACGACCTTCAACAAAAATATGTCATCAAGTAACAAGATGACTTCCCCTTTTGTAGTGCTATCAAATTCGCTCCACACATTAAAGGTGGGGTAGGTAATTTTGAGAAACCGGCTCGAGATACACTTTTTGTTATATTCCATGGAATGCTCTTAACATCCCGATAGCAATGAATATCTTAAGTGCTTTGACAAAAAATCCATACAAAAATTCATTTGTGGAAGCCGTAGTACTGTAAAAAGCACGACCAATCATTTTAGCCGGCCCGGCTAAAATAACTGGATGGTCTACCTGCCTGTCAGCCTTCCATCTGTGCACAAACTTATCTCGTGCCCTCATTGGTCATGTGCACGTTCGTGTGTGTTGGAGGAGGGGCTCTGTAAGGAAGTGGCAGATTTTTTTCCGGTTGTGTATTTTCAAATTCTAGTGCATGGATGTATAATAAGAACTG